AATAGCAGCAATGCATTAACTAGGCTATAAGTAAGAAAATAAAGACAGAGCAAAAAGTTAAGCATGAAGATAATGACTTCCTCATTTTGAGGAGGCAATAATAGAGACTAGAGCATTAATGATTCTTTCTAAAGAGAAAAGAGGTGTCTCAGCTCCAACTGATAGCTGCTATGTGGGAAAGTAAAGCTCAGTATTGTCAGAGCTTCTATATTGTTTTTCCCCAAAAGAAGACTGAAATCTGGATTTTTGTGTGAAATCTCAAAATATTTAAAAATCGAAACTAAGTCAAAATATAATACTGAACAGAACTAAACACACACACATGCACATACACATTTGTGGGTAATCGCAGGCCCCATGAGCCTTGCGTTTAGAGGCAACTTAGAGGTTGCTCAATGCAAGTCACATAGCAGAACCAAAACCAAGTTAAGTTTACAGCCATGACACCCTGAAAATGCCCGATCTCATCTGATCTCAGAAGCTAAGCAGGGTCCAGCCTGGTTAGTATTTGGATGGGAGACCACCTAGGAAGACCAAGTGCTATAGGCTTAAAAAAAAAAAAAAGTTAATGCCATGCTGATAGTGAGTCAGCTTTAGCCACATGGTGGGAAGAACATCTAGTCTACACATTAGGAGAGAACTGAATAGGAAATAAAGCACTCAAATAAGTCTGTGCCCAATATATTGAAAAGGATTTTTGAGAATCCAGTCTAGTCCTGGTTTATGCATACAGAAACCTTAAAATATCAAAACAAAGCATCAAAAATTGAAAAGTTTAGGAATTCAAGAGTGCTCGCCTATGCCTCTAGGCTAGTCCCATACGATATCATATCAGATCTCATTACTGTAAAAATTCTCTTGGATTCTGATCCCATAATTAATCAAGGAATAGAGTCATTACTCTTCTTCAGATCTGGAAAGCTGGTCTCAACTTGTAAAACAAACAAATTATTCAAACTATCTGAACACAGAAGAGATTTATTTTGAAAAGTCTATCAAATGATTTTTCACACATACAAAAAAAGTTTCTCATAGTCAGATCCACAAATCAGCTTCTGAAAAATTCCAGCACACCCATTATCCCATGTACTCAATGTTTATGTTATCTCATTCATTTCAACTCTTCAATACACTACACACTCATTACTAAACAAGTCTTTTCATTATTCACTTCAACCTCATCTAGTACGTATATAATGAACGTTCGATTTAATAATTTGAGCACCTGCTGAGAGAATTCATTCATGGTAGGAGTAAAGGGACAGTTCCTAAAAACAGATTGGTCTATAGATGCCTAAGACACAATATCTGTCACGAAAAGAGTTTAAAACCAAATGAGTTCAGTGATACCAAGATTAGTGGTCATACATATATTGGTGGTTCTCAACCCTGGCTGGGTATTAGAATCACCTAGAATGTTTTTTTTAAAATACTTGTCTCCAGGCCCCACTCTAAACCCAGTGAATGAGAATCTTGGAGAAAGGAACTCAGGCATTTGCACTGTCTAAATGTTAAATGTTAAAGTTAGAGGTGACTGATAATCATCCAGGGTTGAGAGCCCCTGCAGGATATGGCTCGATTACCCCTTCACCTGTGACATGTAATTTTGATGATAAATTTAACTAATTACTCAGTGATGCCCATCTTGACTACTTAAGACAACAATATCCTCTCCACTAACTACTTAACTAAATTGGATTTAGAGCCTAGGACACTGATAAACAACCAGAATCCAAAGACAAGTGATCCCATAATTCCTGCCTATTAGTCTATTCACCTCCCCAGTAGAGTTCATAAAATGGGAGGGCATGAGAGGAAGTAGGAACCTCAAAGGTCCCTGATTTCAGAACATAATTAAAATCTTTCTCAGTATCTTCAGCACCCTACCTACTTCTGTCCTTATCTGATGCTGATTCAGCTGGTTCCCCACATTCCACAAATACCAGTCTTTTTTGTTTCATCCCAGCAGGAAGTGGATACTTCTCTGATACTGCCCACAAATTCCAGAATGACCTCCTTGGCCTTCACTTACCCTCCCAACTTTAGTAGCGTCAAGTCTATCCTCAATCTTGAAATCTGCCTTTCTCTCATCTAAATTATTCAAGGCTCCGTAAGAAATCGACTTAATTTACATTCATATTCCCACCAAATTTGTTTCTGTACAGTAGTCTCTACCTGGATGTATAAGAGATCTTGCCCATATTTCCATTTGTAATTAGACTGAGGAACATTTTTGATACTTGATTTATAAATCTTGCAATATTTGCCTCAGAAACTAGACTTCTCCCTTATAACATGTAGATCTGTACTGTAAAATATAATCAAGAAAAACTTATGGATGTCCATCTCTCTGCAAGAAACAAAATAGCTATCTTTAGGTTGTTATTGTAGCTGTTTTTAGAGGAAATGGTCTTCTTAAAACAAACTTTAAAATATAAACAAGGTGAGTAAATTCAAATGCATAATAACCTACTGGGCTGTGCAGTTAATGACTGAGTGTAAGGATCTGGAGACACAGTTCCTGGGTTCAAATTTCAGTTCCACCACATACCAATCATTTCTCTGTGTCTCTTTCCGCCTCATCTGTAAAATGGGAATAACAGCACCAACCCTCATGGAGTAAGTCATTTAAGACATGTAAAGCTCCTAGAACAGTGCCTGCACAACTAGTGTTAGTTATTATTATTCACATGCGGTTTAAAATCTTGCTGTCCAGGAAAATGAGCCTTTTAAATTGTTTTCACTGATTTAAAGAAAGTGAATTTATTACAGATTGTTTTTCAAATTCAATTTTGACATTTCCTGTCTTTCCCCATCATTTTCTAAATTCGATGGATAAACGCACAGAATTTGTCAGAGTATTTGTTGACATTTTTGTTCCATTAGGAATACCATTTAATATTAGGCCTCACTATGATTATGACATTATTTAAAATGAAACTATAGGAGAGGAATATTTGGGGAGGGGAAAAATATCACTTGCCACTTATTAAATTGAGATTTTAAAAGCCAAAGAAGGGAGGGAGGATTTATAAACTGCAGATGACCTTTAAATGTCACATTCACTAATATATAAATGTAAACAGAAAAATGTAATGTCTGGTAATAATAGTAAACTGGATCAATACAATTATATTATGGGTTCTGTGATATTATAAATTATGCTTTCAGTCCAGGATGGCAATAGCTTTTTAACACCTTTTAAGATCAAATTACAATGTATTAAATATCATCTATCCCTGTATTTTATTTATAAGCTTATAGTTTACTTCTGTTCCTTGGACAGTCCCATGTAGTAAACTTCTAAATATACAAGATTTTAGAGCATAAATTATTTTTAATGCATTAAAAATAAAAATGATGTATCATCTCAGTAAAACCTATTCAATAAGATCTATTTTAATAATTAGTCTAGAATAATGTTGTTACTATTAACCATAGCTTACTTTCAGAAGTTAGTGAAGTATAACTTCAAAGACAATTGGTTACTGTGCAAATCTCAGTTTAACTGAATTATACAATATAAAGAGCACATGCTATTGTAACAATGGAAAAAAATTAGGGTAGATACTCATATAGTTTTATAGGCCATTTTGATTATTTTCCCTCCTCTACCTCAATTCCATTAGTAAAGAGTTCAGCTTTAGGTATTATATTTAATATATTTATAGACCTTTCACTATACTATTCTCAAACCCTTAACTGTTCAAGACAACATAAACACATGTTTATTCAAAGTAGAAATTTTTTTCTGTATAATAATTCTTAGTGGAGGCACAAGAGGTGCAGAGATTTTCTTAAAGGCTTAAATTATATATTTGGAAGAAACAAAATTATTTGTATGCTTTGGATAACCTATAAGACATTAAAGAAATTACATCTTCCCATGAATAAATTGGCAAACATTATTTCTACAGTTCTCAAAGCATGAGAACAAATATTTAGAGAACCATTGTCCTCTAAAGGAAGAGTTTATGACTTGTCCTGTTTCAGGAGGGTTTGGGGCATACACACAAGATGTTCCATCTGAGGATTAAAAAATTAAAAGGTGCTCTTCAATGCCTGCATTTAACAGTTCTATTGAAGAAGACACAGAGGCCCAGTATATTACCCAAACACCTGTTGAGTTCTAGTGTCCCGCTAAGTCTTCTGAACATGCGTTCCACACTTAAAAACACTCCTCCTGAGCTTCACTTAATTTTACTTGTTTCTGACTTCAAGAACAGAGCTGGGGACAGTCCTGACCGTCATTTCACTAGTCATCCAGGACTTGACACAGTCCTCATGCGTAAAAAATGCTCATAGAATGTGCAGCACTAAACTATAAACACTCGAAATATAGACTGGTTGTTATAAGCAAACAACACCCTTCCACCCAAGTCCCTCCCCAAATCTCTTAGGGAGGGCCGCTCACGAGGTTGAAATTCCAGGGGCCCCATCAGTCACAACTTCCCAGTATCTGTAACTTGCACCAATCATCTTTCTAACTCCAAGAAGCCGAAGTGGAGCTGGCCTTAGCGGGTCAAAAATCACACCTGAGGTCAGTAGCACCTCCAAGGGTTCCATTAAGAACAATTCCCTCAAACAACTTCTAAAAGAGTGAACTCCAGTGGTCCTTCCAATCACCTAGGAGAGTGTTTAAAAGCAGACTGGGAGGCAGTGGGCTTGGATCAGGACGCCAGACTGCATTTCTAATGGCCCGCCAAGGGATTCCCATTCTGTGGTTCCCTCCCACCGCCCTTTGAGAAGCAAGACCCACAAACGCCCAAAGACTCCCAGGTCACTTCTATGAGTAACATTCAAAAGTTGTGGCTACAGGTAGTGTGACAAATCAAGGCGCCTGGGTGCCCTACGTCCCCTGAGGGTTGCTACCGGGTCCTCGGGACACCTAGCAGGTGCCTTGGTCTCCATGCGCTCTGGAGTAGTCCACCCCGCAGCCGCGCCCCCACTCCCCACTCCCGCCCCGCGCGCGCCTCTCCCCACCCCCGCGCGGCGCTCACCTTCTCCCGGGTCTTCAGGTACCGCTGCAGCGCCTGCTGCGTGAGCTCCCGGACGCACAGCTGGCCCTCCTTGCAGGGCACCACGATGCCGGTCCTGCCGAAGCATACGGTCACT